CTGATATCTACATTGCTTTCTGCAGATGCTGGACTCACTGTTCCCCTTTCTACAATACAAAGATCTGGGAATGTGTCCTTCCACCCCCTGGTCTCTGCTGTGTGATTCTTCACTTCTTACCAAAGCAAAGGCTTTAAGTTGCTTCCAGTATATGAACGAACAGGAGATGTGTCCACAGAGAGCAAAATCTGCCGCTGCAGGCAGACATTTGGACCATTAAATCTTTCCTTTGCCACCCAAATTGATAGAGTGCAGAGAAAAATCAATATATCCAATAGAAGGCAAATGAAATAAGAGAGACAATCTCCATTTTCTTTAGAGTGTTGGTAGTTTTATTTTTCTGCAAGAGTCACACTGGGCAAACCTGTGCATCATGTGGGCAGAACTCTTTAGACAAATATTTTAGAATCTTCAGAACTCATCTTTTTATGCCCTATCCTAACTAAGGAGTGACTTTATGGGAGTTCCTGCATGAAGTGGAATCTACCCAAGAGAGAATTCACACAGACTTCAGTGGCAGAGCTGTAGGAGTGGGGCTGCCCTAATGGATTTGGGGTTTGTTTTCATTTGATTTTTTGTTGTTATTCTTTGTTTTCCCTCTTGGAATGGGAATGCTTTCTCTGTGCCATTATATGTTGGAATTATGTAACTTAAAAAAATTTATAGGGGCTCATAGTTGAGAGAAATTTTGACAGTGTTGGAACTATTGAGAGGCACAGGGTTGTTTAAGGATGGACTGAGTGCATTTCATAATATAATGTAGTCTTGAGCCTCTAGGGACAAAGGATGAAAGATTATGACTTAAAAATGATGTTTGGATGTCCCGTTGACAAGAAGTGGAACCGAAACAGCAAGTGTTAATTGTTAGCTTGACAGAAATTGGAATCCTCTTGAAGATGGGCCTTTGGATGGGTCTCTGGGGATTTTATCTTGATGACATTAATTGAGGTGGGAAGACCCTCTAACTGAAGGTTGCATTCATCCATTGTTCTCTGCTTTTTTTTTTTTTTTTTTTTTTTTTTTTTACTGTGAACGCAATGTAACCGACTACCTCAAGCTCCTGCAGGTGTATCTCCCCCTATGACAATGGACTAAATGATGAGCTATGAACCAAGTAAACTCCTTGTCTCTCAAGTTGTTTTGTCAGAGTGTTTCACATCAACAGGAAAGAAACTAAGGAAACATGTCCCTAAATTACTGTTCTGGGGAAGAATATTTTTAGATAAGATCTCTTTAAAGTTGGTGACTTTTCATATCACCAAAGCATGCAAGAATGCCTGATACATATGCATATATGTGTGTGGTGTTTACGATGTGTATATAATGAGCAGATGGGTGACTCTGTGACATGAGAGATCAGTGAAGAAGCCTCTTCCTGGAGGTCAGCTGGTGGTTTGCTGGAAGGGAGGTGTACACTTTCTCTAGACCTTTTCCCTTCAGCCATAGGGGTCTGATGCTTTTTTAAGCTTTCCATATTGATATGAGGGGTACTGAGCAATGCTAGTGGGCAGAGCTGATTGCCTTTGGGAGATGTTTTAGAAATAGCCAAAGGAAAGTGGAAAGGGTTGGAAAATGAAGAGGAGGAAATAGGACAGACAGAGTGAACAGAGGACAGAGGCAAATGCAGTAGCAGAGATGATGTCCCCATCAGCAGAACACAATGGCCTTCAAGGATGACCACACCGCAACCCTATTCTCTTTACCCTCTGGTCAAGACACTAGCAACACCAGGCTCTCGGTGCCTTTCATCCTCCTTTCCTTTTTTCTGGTGCCAAATACAATGTGCTTATAAGTATTCAGGAGGCTCCCACACAGTTCTGAAATAGATCTCAATGGGTGCTGAAATCAGGGACTTTAATGTGTAGCACCAGGCAAAGACAGAAAAGTAAAATATTGCAATGCAAAAAAGCATCTTGAAGATTACTGGATGCAAACTCCTCACCTCACCTGCAAATAGGTTAATGGTGACTCTGAGAAGCTGAGGGATTGCTCCAGGAAACCCAGTGCTCTGATAACTGAATACAAGCTGTGGGACTCCTAGCCTGGCTCATTCTCTATCCCTCACTGACCCAATATGGTCAAAGTGATCTGTGGCCACAGAGGAAGCACTATAGATTACACTCTTAAGGAAAATACAGACAAATGAGCAGTTTGAGACTAGTCCATAGGTTGGTCTTGCTTCTCCCAAGAAATCCCTGTTCCTTCCAGCCAGCTGACTCTCACCATCAGTGAGGATGACAGTGGTGCTGTGAATACGCCATCAGAAGATCATGATGGTCACCACCTTGGAGCTAATTTTCAGTAGCTTGTGAAAGTTTCTAGTACTTTTCCACAGTTAAAGTTGTACCTCTATGTAGATGTAAAACAGAGACCCATGATGATTACCATTTCAACTTCCTATCACTCTCTGCACTTGATTTGTGAGACATAACAGAAGAACCAAGCTAGCCTGGCTCCGTACATGAAGGCAAAAGTCACCTGGCTTTTCATTTATGAAACTCCAAAGATTGTGAGCAGCTTTATTCACTTCAACAAAGGTTTTGAGGGGTGCTGACATTTTACTGTTCCGAGTTAACCGGTCTTTTACACTAATCATGCAGATTCTTGGTTGTCATTGCTGTGCCGGTCATCATTCACTCTGCATAGACCCCCTCATTTCCAGTGTCGATTCTGTAGCCACAGTGGATTTTATGTCTTTCGGGTTGAAGTATGGGTTAGGCATAGAATCCCAAACTCTCAATATTACCCAAAGTGCTAACCCTTTCTTTTAAAATTTTTAGGAAGGGAAAATGTTTTTCTTGTCATAGTCCCTGATATGACTCACCCTAATTCTACCTAAAAAGCTCCTGGGGTATTAATTTATACTCTTATTCTGTGCTTTTGCCCTCACCTACCCAGACAATCACCTTTAGGGTGATATTATACACACTGTGTGATGCTGTCTCACCCCGGACCTCCGCTGGCTTCCCATTGTCAGTGAAGTTGAAGTCTGCTCCTGCGTTCAGCCCTTTCAGACTTTCCCCAAGCGTTGCTCCCCCTCCCCCACCTCGCTCTCCTCACTTCCTGTAACTGGCGCAGTTATTCACAACATCATTGCTTCTGCCTCCTTTTCTCTCTCCCTGTAAACCCACAGTTCCCCTTCAAATCCCTTTACCTCATTTATCATGACTTCCAAGGGTTCCTTTATCTCCAAATATCTACCACTTCGCTTTTAATTCTGAATACTGCACGGTGTTCTTTCATCTCTGAATATTTACCACCTCTCTTTTTGTAAGGGAAGAGGCTAATTCTGACAACATTTGACATATACGACCTTGTTGGATGTCCATTTATGGGAGAAAGAGGTTTCTTTCTTGGGACATACTCCTTGAGGTTTGGAAGCAGGCTGGTGGCTTGTCATTTGAATTATCATTTTCTTCTTTCCACCCAATTCAAGATCAAATGACTGAAAATGATAGCTGCAAAGTCAAGTTTATCTCAAACAGACAAGCCCCATGTACACAGCTGACTACTTAGAAGTATTTTGTTCTAAGTAGCCTGGACAGGTTGAAAAGGAAAGAAAAAAAAAAAAGAAAAACCCTGTAAAATAGAGTCTGAAAAGTAGGAGCTAGCTAAGCTTATGCCAGCCCATATAGTATTTTCTTTTAGAAAATATTCACTAATTTTTTACATATTTGAGAAATTTCAAAAAATACCCCCCCTTTTTTTCCCTGAGTTTTTTTTTTTGTTTTTGTTTTTTTTTTTGTTTTTCGAGACAGGGTTTCTCTGTGTAGCTTTGCGCCTTTCCTGGAACTCACTTGGTAGTCCAGGCTGGCCTCGAACTCACAGAGATCCGCCTGGCTCTGCCTCCTGAGTGCTGGGATTAAAGGCGTGCGCCACCACCGCCCGGCTCCCTGATTTTTTTTAAGAAAAGCAAAATCAAAAGATCTCGTGAAGTGGGCTCACATTCTGACACAACAGGATCAGATCTACATCCCAGCTTTCTAGTAAGCCACAGTCCTCACTCAGCCACACGCCACTTGCTTAATCTATCTGCTTGGCCCTTGAAATTGAGTCTAAAGCTCTGGGCGCAAAGGAGGCGGGGGAGAATGAACAAAGGGAACAGTGACGTCAGGACGTAGACTCCAGAGCCCAAGTGACCTGCAGGATGGACACGCTGAAAGCAAGGTTGAAGACATACTTTTAAACATTCAGATGATGAGAAACGGCAGTCAATGAGGGACAGTAGGGAACCACAGACAGTTGTCACGTGTCCAGGTGTCATGAGTCCATGCTGTCATCATGAGAAATTTAGCAAGACCCAATGGACCCTTCACCATCTACCAGGATGAGTCAACGGTGAAAAAGAAAAAGATCCAACTTCCTTACTTTTGCTCTTGAGGGAAAGTCAGAATCTTCTCAATACTTAGAAAAGGCCGCAGAGTTGAGGACCTGCATGTCTTGCATATGAGGAGAAACCAGAGGCCAGGTGTGACCAGTGAGACACACAAGGAAGCACATCCTTACCCTAGTTTCTCTTCCAGAAGCTCTCTCCTCCTGCCCTCCCCGAGAGCCTCGCCTCTGCATTTTCCTTGCAGAGTGTACTTGACCACCAGGGGGCCCTGTTGCACACTTCATGCAGAATAATCACGAGCACTGACGGTGTCCTGGGAAATTCCTAAGGACTTGCCAACCTGCTATCTATTTTTAATGAAGACTGGGATTATTCCAGCCTTGTCTTTAGAACTAAGAATACAGCCAATAGACAAGAAGTGAAACGTTCCACGGACATGTAAAAACATGCAAAGGTTATAGCTGAGTTAAAACGTTTCCCTTTATGATTTCCTCAGCTACAAGCTTATGTCTGCAGTTGTCTGTCCCACAGATTGTCCTTCCTTCCTTCCTCTTCCACTGGGTCTCCCAGTGCGATCCCCACCCTTCTTCTGTTGACAAAAGCCAGGAGGTGGGAGTGGAAGGCAAGGTTCACCCTGGGAAGAAGACTGCATTTGCGGCCAGCTCACCCTGCTCGCTCCTGAACGTGTGATCCTCTGGGAGGATGGAGTGGGTGTTCTTCACAGTTCCTCCTCCAACAAACCAGTTCACGTTGGGGTTCCAGCGGTTCACAAAGCCACACAGATGATTTTCTTCAAAGTCACATTCTGGAGGAAGAGGCATAGACACACATTTCACGGACCTGCAGCCACACCTAGGGACACCTACACTCTCTGCAAAGTCTGCCCTTTGTCATTCTGAGGACTCTTCCTCAACCATGGGGACTTGTGGACCAGAAATTCTGAACAATATTGGTCAAGAAGAGAGATCCAGTAGTGAACTGATGCTCTGCTTTATCATTGCCCCTCTGAATCATAGCCCTTTCTCCTATTAGCCATGTGACTTGTTGTGAGACTCACCATCTCCCTGAGTCTGTTTCCTGATGTGTGAATTGGAGACAACAGTGCCACCTCATCATGCTATAGGCATGGGCAGCTCTCAGTACAGCACCAGAGGACCAGTCACATTGCCTGTGCTTGATATAAGCTGATGATTTTTGTCAGCCTATTAAATTAATTAATTCGTCGATGTTTTGGTCCCAGGGACCAAGTCCAGGGTCTTGCACATGTTAAGCATGTACTTTACCACTGACCTATGTTCCCAGCTCCATTACATTTTAATGTACTATTTTAGGGTTATTCCCTCAGCTCTATAGACATTTTCTGCACCACCCTTTCTGTTACCTGCTGGCCCGGTCCTCCAACTCTTTATGGTGAACAAGTTTCCTAGAAGTCATGTTTCCAAGATGCTAAAACTCCCTGCTTTTCTGATGTATAAAAATCTAGTCAGAATAGGTGGGACAGGCACATACATGGCCCATGACCCTCCTGTAACTCCTGCCTAGAGATGAAAAATACAGAAGTAAAACCTTTGTGTTTGGGGATATTGACATGTTTGCTATAAATTGTTCCCCATTAGCAAATTCTTTTAGTGGGAACAGGGAAGTCGTAAGCCTACTCCAGCCACTGACACCATAATCCTGCAATTACAAAATGAAGGATGATCCGCATCCCGTTCTCTGTGGCTCCATCCACCTCTTTATTGGGTTCCACCAAAGGGGGATGAAGGAAGGTGACATCAGTGCTAGTGGCCAGCTCCATCACTGCCAGGTCGCCATGGTGAGCTATGTCCCTTCACAAAAGGAAGGGCCTAGCCAGAAGCAGCCTTGGCCATACAGCCACTGTTTCCAGGTGCTTGGAATTCCTCCTCCCTTGTCTCATTGGCTAGCCAGATAACAGCTTGTGAGTCATGGCTGGTCCTAATTCTGGTTACAGTGCCAGCCCCTGCTGGTGTCTTTACCCTGTACAACTTTGTGGTCTCATTGATGTTGATGGGCTTTCCTCAAATTACAGAGGTGAGGCTGATCCCTGCCCCCTGCATCCCAGCTCCCACCTTCCCGCCAGGATCCTAGCTGGTACAGTTGTCAGCGGGCACTGACAAATCTCAAGATTTCTTTTCAAATTTCCACTGCAGTATCTGCCAACTGATGCTCAACATCTAGTGCCAAGGGCTGCCACAGAGTGTAATAAAAAGCAAAATCCTTCTCAGCGTGCCAGGCACTAGTCTAAGCTTTTTCTATGAATTCACTTAATCCTCAACATAGCCCCTTGAGAAAGGTACTGTTATTAACCCAATTGCACAGACAAGGGACCAAGGGAAGTGGGCACAGAGCCAGAAGGGGTGACAGCGTGGTAAGATGCACTTATGTGGCATCCTTTTTGTTTCAAACAAACCAGAAGCCACCAAATCATCTGGGGGAAAGGAATGAATGTTTCTTGAGTGCCCACCCTTAAATCTACCTCTTCACAAACCTCACAGGAACCAGCTCCACGTTGCAGAGGATGACAAGGGGTTGGGGGGGTGGGGGGAGGGCGGGGAGGTGCAGTGAGAGACTGAGCCAGCAGGCGGCGCTCCCCAGGTGCGTCTGGTTGCTTCTGTGTGCATGTGGAGGGGCAACAGCTAGACTCCTCGAGGGAGGAGCCTGCATGAAAGTTCTGTCTGTCTCCATCTTTGCCTTAGAGGTATCAGTGAAAGACCGAAACACAGAAGCCACACCAACGACATTAGCATAGGCTCCTTGTACAGGATCATCTTTGACTCGCCACTCCCTTTAGCCCGAGTCCTCAGTCAATACTGTCAATGCTGAGGCATCTTGCAGATCTATTGACTTTTTTCTTCTGCAATGCTCCCCCCCCCCCCCCCCCCCCCCCCCCCCCCCGCACCTTCTCCCTAACCCCCACTTTAAGGTCCTCCTTCTGTAATCCCTGTAAAATCAGAGTCTCTTTCGGGAGTTTGCTAGCTCCTATGTATCTGTATTTTCCTTGTCTCCAGCTCATGGAAACCAGCATCATCATCCAAAAGCCACAGCTACACACCTGTCCCCTGCTCCAGCACCTACCAGCCTCATAATTTGGTAAACCCAGGCTTCCATCCTGAGACCAGTCTCTGTAAGACACTCCCTGAGGGTTACCGACTGCTCAGCTCTGGCCTTTGCCTCTGTACACTCAGATCCTTTCTCCTACAAGCTTCGCCTGCAAACAACCCTCTTCTCCTGTGTGCACCTCCACATTCGCCAGCCTCTCTGCTCACTGTGTAAAGAGTTAATGTTCGGTGGCAGATGAGGACTAGTCAGGCACCCATGGGGCAGGGGCTGTCCTCTTGCTGCCTTCACAGCTGCCATGCAGACAGCCAATCTTGCCCACACCAGGTCGTGTTTAAGTGATAATTTTGATGACTAAGACAGCAGTAACAGAGTATCAGGAAAGTAGGTGACATGATGGATGTCCGCTCTTCTGGCAAAGGCCACCAAAAATAGAGTTCACAGCAAGCCAGCAATTGTTTTTATTAGAACTGGGGGAGTTTAGAGAGCCTCGCTGGGGGTAAAAGTGACTGCTTCTCCTGCTTAATCCAGCCAGTTTGAACAAATGCTAATGAGCCTTTCCACTGAAGACTGAGGACCAATGTCTCATCTTCAGGTGACCCTAGCAAAGAACAGAAGCTACTATGCATTTTGCAAAATGCTCTATGACACACTTGGCCTTTAGGATCGATTTACTGCTTTCTGGCAGCGGATTGTAGAAAGAGATTTGCATTCCGCTGCATGATCACAAAATTCACTCACCAATACAGTAGCCGGCTGTCATCTTGATTTCAAAGAGGGCAATGCTGGCCGTGTTTCCTTGTCCCAGGACACCTTCGATCAAAATCTGTACAACGAACGTATGGGGGGAAAAGGAATCAGGCATCAAAACACCATGTTTCCTGTCCAATATTTCAGTTCTTAGTCAGGAACTATCATTCAGTGTGATTCACTGTGCATACACAAACACAGATACACACACACACACACACACACACACACACACACACACACACACACACACACTGAGGACTTTGACATGAACAAAGTGTCCAACAGAGGCTCACAGTCAGCTGCCTTCCAATGCTATCCTAACTTTCATATCCTCCTGTGTTCATGGAGGCAGTGATTGGTGGTGGATGGAGACAGGAGCAGTGCTCCTGGGGAGGTGTGTGCTGAATGGAACTGAGGGCAGATGATGCGGGGACAAAGGAAAAAAAAGTGGTGTGTGTAGGGGAATCCTTGGATGAGAAGACAGGGAGCCCAAATCTGTCAGAAATCTCCACATGAGATGGGAAGGCTCAAAAGTTAATCCACAGTTTCTACTTTGATGAGAAATTGAGAATTTTACACAGAGAACAGATAAAAGCGTGACAATCCATGTGGTCAAGGAATGTTAGAGTTCACATCTGGCCCTGTTTCTCAAATAGCTTTTTCTTCTGTGGCTTTAGCAGGATGTTTTGCAACTACGCGCGTAGATTTGGGGTCTATAACCATTGGAATATGGTGTGAAATAGAAACTCAGACTCAATGTTCCTTCCCTCAGTGTCCGCTTAATGGAGAGAGACTCCCAACAGGCTGCGCTAGGCTGAGATGCTCTGTTTTAAAGTCTTTCAAAGAAGAGGGTTGAGCCTAGGAATAGAGTGCGTCACGAATGGTGGTTCTGTTATGCCCTCAGTGACACACACACTCTCATATGTGCCAAACTCCAGCTCCCTTCCCTGCTCCACTGCACACCCCACCTCTCACATCCTCTACCTTCCTCTCAGAGATGACAGAACAGTGAGCCTCTCTGAAAAGGAAGGGAAACATGCCTGGTAAATAACTTTCTTCTTTCAAAGTATTTTGGTGTCTCATTTTATAATAATGCCTTGTTCAAACTTTGGAGCAACTAACCCATTAGGAAGGTAACGCAACATATTCCACAAACAATTTAGAAGCATGATGCAAAATTGCTGGCAACAAAAATACTCCTGAAAGTCCATTTTCACTGAAGAGGTCAACTTAAGCACCATTTAGCCTTAGTTTTTAAATAGATGGAGAAAGTTCATGAAGATGCTGTTTTAAGGAATAAACAAATACTAATTTACATTAATGTTCTATAATGCAACTAACCTTACTGACTTACTTGTTATAAGACAATGGTTCTCAACCTGTGGGTCACAACCCCCAGGGGGAGGATTGAATGGCTATTTCACAGGGGTTGCATATCAGCTACCCTGCATATCAGCTATTTACATTATGATTCACAACACTAGCAAAATTAGTTATGAACTAGCAACAAAATTTTATGGTGGGGGGTCATCACAATATGAGGAACTGTATTAAAGGTCTCAGCATTAGGAATGTTGAGAACCACTGTTGTAAGACCTCATGTAGCATAAGGCAGGTCACATGCCTCATATATTCCTCCTAAACCCCACCTACCTTGAATTTCTTGGAGCTGTTTTGAAGATCCAGACTGGCTATGAGCCAGCTGTCTGAAGGCTCCTTAGTGGACCAAAGCAAGCGATCAAAACTTTCATCCTCAAATCTCACATAGAGGTTCAGCTGGCTGGGATCCGAGACGGCTCCCGGAGGTGTGGTTATCTGGTAGACCAGGCGAAGACAGTTCCATTCCTCAGCCTGCAAATCAGAGCTCAGCAGCACGGCTTTCTCCCCTTGCTTGGCAAAAGAGGTGTCCACATAAACGTAATGGCCTGAAAGAGAGAGAAGCACAGACAAGGTATTAGTCTTCTGTTTGTGACTTGGAAAAAAGACAACAGTTTGGTCCATTAAACCTGTGGGAAGACATAGCCTGCAAATGCATTGTCTCAGCCCAACAGAACTGCCTGAACACTGGGTCTCTGGTCTCTTGTGAAATGGGCATATCTACCCTGCACCCTGTGGGCCACACGCACCCCAGGATAAGTGTTAATGCATCCCAACACACTCGAAAAGGATATTATAGGACAATGTCAAAGACTGGACACCCTTACATGGTTTGGCCATACTGTAGCCATTTCCCCACATGACAACAGCCTGGAGCTGAGCAGCGGGCCACTCAGGAGAGTGGAGTGTCCTGTCCAGTTTTCCATCCCTTCAACTCCTCTGAACTCCATCACTGAAGTCAAGTGTCTGATGCTTTTCCTCATCCCACACCAGGTCCACTTAGCACATTGCACAAGGCATCCTGGCCCTCACATGGGTGAGGGTGCAGGCTCAGGACACTGAATGTAGGGAGTGATATGAGCAGGCTGGACCCGAAAGTCTCAAAATAGGATGACTTGGTGTACTCCACCATCTCCTTACACAGTTCTCCCCGGAACAAATGATTTAATTTGCATTTAGCTTGTATCATTAGAATAGACTAAATTGATTTAGTTACTCAGCTTGGCTCTTGGGGCCCAGCCAGCTGAAGTGTAAGCTTTTTTTTTTTTTAAATTAAAAATTAGATTCCCTTTGCCTAGACTCTTTCCTAACCAAATATAAGTAAATGGAGAGTGTGTATAGAACACATTGCAGAGGACTGGGAAAGCCGTGGACACAGCAGGGTCACCCTCATTCTGTCTTCCTCTTTCATCTCTTCCTCTTTCTCTTTTATCTTCTGTTTTCTTCTTTCTCCTTTCCCCATCCTCTTTTCTCTATTTTTCCCACCACCCTCTTCTATCTCTGCCTCTATCCTGCTAATGCATATGAGCGGTATTCTACCAGCTGGGCCAGGATATGGAATCACATTCCTACGGAGGATGGGGAAGGAGTGAAGCCAAGAGCACCAATGTCAGCCTTCCACACTGTGCTGGCCACCTGGACTCCTAGCATAGTTATTCACTTGTTTGTTGGTCTTTGAAAGTGGAAGTCGAAGACTGCAAATGCCCAGAAGCTCCCACATGTGTGTCCACATTAACCCATTGCCTTCCATTGTGTGGTTCCCCACTGCGCCCCTGGTTGTTTGGCTCCCTAGCCAGAAAGCTCTGAAATCTTTCAGATAGGCTTTCCTTGATTTCTTTTGGCCCACCCTCCCACACGGATTGCCCCAAACAGCCATCCCAGCTAGGATCTCTGTATCAGTAGCCAGTTCTGGCAGACCAGAAGCAGCTCAGCAAATGATCAGTCCCCATGTAGGACACAGAATGCCATCTTGCTAGCTGGAGGATTCCAAGATCAAGCTTGTCTCTAGCTGGCAGTCTTCATGTGGCAGCCACTCACAAGTGACAACAGCTTTTAGAAACATTTCAGCGCCCCCACCAGTGTGTTAAGTCTGATCCTTAAAGCTATTGTCACCACCAAGTGTTCTGTATACAGCTAGTACTCACGTGCGAGGCATTGCACTAACTGCATGGTACCCATTCATCATTCACAATCTGTGGTGTCTACTGGCTCCCAATTATGAAGCTGAGCTCTTGATACCAAGGGGTTTGCTCATAAAGACTTGGATCACTGCAGTCACAGGAAATGTCTAAGTGCCACTCTATTTTCCCAACTCTTTATTCAGGAAGTCTCAGTTGGCAGGTATCGGAGTGGAGTGTGGATGGGATAGTGTGCTGTGGGATGTCATTCTGTATGTTGTGAATATGTGTTGCTCTGATTGGCCAGTAGCCAGGCAGGAAGCATAGGCAGGGCAAGCAGAGAGGAGAATTCTGGGAAGTGGAGGGTTGAGTCAGGAGTCACCAGTCAGACACAGAGGAAGCAAGATAACAAGGCAGAACTGAGAAAAGGTACCAAGCCATATGGCTAAACATAAATAAGAATTATGGGTTAATTAAAGTGTAAGAGCTAGTCAGTAATAAGCCTGAGCTAATGGCCAAGCAGTTATAATTAATATAAGCTTCTGAGTGATTCTTTTATAAGTGGGCCACAGGACTGTGGGGTCCTGGTGGGACCCCAGAAACATCTGACTTCAATAGTGAGCTGGTTAGATTTTTGACACTTGAGACAAACTAGAGTCATCGGAGAAGGGGGAACATCAACTGACAAAATGCCCCCATCAGTTGGTCTGTAGGAGAACCTGTGGGGACATTTTCTTGAATGATGGGTGACGTGGTGTGGGTCCAGCCCACTTTGGGCAACATCATCCCTGGGAAGGTTGTCCCAGGATTTATAAGAAAACAAACTGAGCAAGCCAGGAGGAGCAAGCCAGTAAACAGCACTGCTCCACGGTTCCTTCCCCAGTTCCTGCCTCCCGATACCTGTCTTGTGTTTCTGCCCTGACTTCCCTCAGTGATGTACCTGATCTGAAAGCTGAAAGCTGAAACAAATCCTTTCACCCTCTAGTTGCCTTTGCTCATGGTCTTTACGACACCAGTAGAAACCGTAACTAAGACAGATGGGGAGGCGTGGAGAGTGCTGCTTTCCTGCAGAGGTCAGGGGGTGGGAGATGGAGCCTCAAAGGGAAAAGAAGAACCTTTGCATTGTGTACTGCCAGCATTCACGACAGGCTCAGCTCAGGCTCAGCTCATCCCGGACATTTCCCAGCTTCCCCGGCCTCAGCTCCCTCCTTCCTTTCCACACTCCAGAAGAGAAAGCCCAAGACTCGAGGCCCAAGTTTTCAAACTTGCATCTGGTGGGACACTTCCCCTCCAAAGAAATGGGGCTCACTCTCTAGGCACTCTTTTCTTTTTTTTAAAAAAACATTTAATCAAATTTCCATTTTAATATTTAAGACCATGACAACAATAGTGAGCTCTATCTTTTGATGGTCGTTTTCATTTTACTGCCATAGTTACATTTTGTACAGACACAAAACTATTATAGGACTAGACATACTCTTGTCACCAGATACTACTAAATTTAATAAGAAGCTGTTCCTGAGTAATGGTGACATTGTTGGAACACCTGCTAGGGATTTAAGACATTTATTTTTTTCCTAATTTATTTTTTATTTTTTATTGATTCTTTGTGGATTTCACATCATGCATTCCAACCCCACTTATCTTCCCATCCCCTTGTTTCCTCCCTCAGCCCTTGCAACATTCCCCCCCACCCCCGCCAAAAAAAAACCTAACAAAATTTAAAGGAAAAATCGAAAACAAAACAAAACCAAAAAAAAAAAGGGAGAAGAATCTCATTGTGTATAGTGTGATCATGAATCTGACTCATGAAGCTGTAGTGTGGTCCATTGAATCACACAGTTTACCCTTCAGTTCATTCATCTTGACTTGTAAGTGTTCATTACTATGAGTCATTGGCCTGTTTTGAGGCCTCTGGCCTCCGCTACACTATGGATAATGGGCTCTCTCTGGGTCTCCTCTTGGATACTCCGTTGTTGTCCAGTGTCATGGAGACTCTGCAGTTTTGGATCTGTAGGTTCATCCCCTTCTCATGCTCCAACATGTTGTAGAATATTATTTTAACGTGTGTTACTTTTGTTTATGTTGCGTTTGTTTAACTCTGTGAAGCTGTGTTACTGTGCCTGTCTAAAACACCTGATGGTCTAATAGAGAACTGAACAGCCAGTAGCAAGGCAGGAGAAAGGATCGGCAGGGCTGGCAGGCAGAGAGAATATATAGAAGGAGAAAACTGGGAGAGAGAAGAAGAAGTAGCCAGGGAAGGAGGAGGACTTTAGGGGCCAGTCACCCAGCTACACAGCAAACCATGGAGTAAGAGTAAGATTTACAGGAGTAAGAGAATGGGAAAAGTCCCGAGGCCAAAGATAGCCAGGTAACTTAAAGTTAAGGGAAACTGGCAAGAAACAAGCCAAGCTAAGGCTGGATATTTATAATTAAGTATAATCCTGCATGTGTGATTTATTTGGGAGCTGGGTGGCAAGCCCCCAAAAGAGTGAAAAAACCAAACAACAACAGTTCATAGATGAGGTGGATGTTGGGTGAGCTAACTCTTCGCTCCGGTTCTGGGCCCGGGTGGTAGCTGGGTTGGTCAGCCTGCCAGCTTTTCCTCATCATCCCTACCCTGGTGAGCTCTCCAGCTTTTGGCCAGCTCATCCAATACAGCCTGTAACAAGGGGGTGGAGCCAGTTCTCTCCAGGTCCTCAGATCCAGCTCACCCACACTCACACCACCAGGGCCCGCTCTACTGTTCTGCCCAGGTACTTTCTGTTTAATCACAGAAAGTGCATCATAGGTTCCTATAGCATGTTTGGGAGGGAGGAGATGGTTCTAAGTAGAACTCAAATGTCCGTGAATGTGTGTAATTACGTTCACAGCATGTAACAATTGGGGATATCTGTATTTTTTGGTGAGGGCTGTTAAAAAGCCTGTGTTGAACTGGGTGTGGTGATGCATACCTCTTAATTCCTGGCACATGAAGGATCAGGCAAGAGGATGACAAGTTTGAGACCTGTAAGACTTTATCTCAAAAAGGAAAGTCTGTTGTAGTGGATGGTGGTTAACAGAATGAACCACAGCTGGCCGAGGTGCAGAGAGTAAGAGGCTGCAGAATGCTTAGCCCTAAAAAGCACATATCTATCAAACACTCCTCCCTCCCAAGGCTCAGGGACCATTGTAGAAGAAGGAGTAGAAAGAGTGCAAGAGGCAAACAGGGCGGGTAGATGAGTACAAGGAAATATTACCTTCTGGACAGAGCAGGACCGCTCTGCGTAAGATCTCCCAGCGGTCTCAATAGCATGCCCAAGACCTGTGCAAGCCCAAACTAAACCAAATTCCAGTATGGAGCGGGGAGTCGAGCACACAGCCCTACTCCTAATCATAGAGTGGTCCGTAATTATATTAGCTGCAGGGAGAGGAAGAGACAGTTTTCTCTG